TTCTTCCTCTTATTTCCCCTCAAATCGGCAGCAGGCAAACGCAGCCCTGTCTGTCTTGGTTCAGGGGCATCCAAAGGAGCTGTGCAGGGATGCACAGATGCCAAAAGGGACTCTAGGACAGATGGACATGCTCCAGCTCCCGTGCTGGAGCAGGGAAAGTGCGTGAGGAGACCCCCACTGCAGAGGAAGGAGCCCCAGAGAAAGCCATCCTTAGGGACTCCAGGGGAAAGCCCCAGTGTCACCAGCCTCAAACCCTGTCTCACATGCAGCAGTTGTGTTATGTAATGGAGAGGTTATGGATGACTTTGTTACCCTTGTAGCCCAGAGCTTTAGAACACTGGGAATGGCATTCCTACCCAGCTCCCTTCTGGAGACTTTGCTGTTCTAACACAAAATCAATGAATGCCCATAGTACCTCCTGACCAGCAAGGGAGAGCTCTCCCTGCAGTTGTGCACCATAATATGGTATATTTTTGTCAACTTTGAATTTCCCCTTCTCCATTTCATCTTCAGGATAAGAAAAAAAAAAACCTGACTTGGTCTCCTGGGTTTCCTGGTCATTCATAATTGAAAGCTGTTGAGATCCTGAACTTGCTTCCATGGTGGTGGGCCCATTGTGCTCCCTAAAACATCTTCCTCTACCCTAAAAATAACTGATGGAAATGGAAAGTATAGTAACCAGTCTAGTTACAAGAATGCACCCAGGTGCCAGCTACAAATCTGTGCCACCTTCTGTCTACTGCCCTGACCTACCAAAACAGGGTTTGGGGATTTTTTTTTTCATAAATGCACATGCTCTTTCATTTTTCTTTTCTTTTAGGAGGGCTGCCAACCCTTTTGTACCCTGAATGGCTCTCCAAGTCTCTACCCGAAGGCGTGACCCGATCACACCCATGATCCTTCCAGCCAGGACCCCACTGTGAGGGGATGTCGAGAGCTCTGTGTGTCAGTCCTGGACTGGAGGCTGAGCTGGGAGTGATAATTATCCCTTTTCTAATGTCCTGTGAATGGTGACTGCCAATTCTCCAAAGGCTGTGACACGTTTTCTCCATCAGCGGGATGTCCATTGTTACAAAGCTTCCATTTTACAAAAGAAACATTTTCAGTTTCACTTTCTCCCTGTAGTGGAAGAAGAAAAATCACAGCTACTATTGTAAATAAAACAAAGGCAGTTCAGGCAGGGTTGTTAAGTAGAAACTTCTACTCCTCAGGGCACAGCCTCACCCTTTTTACAAGGCTTCCTTTGAATGCAATGTGGAATTTGCTCAAGTAGGAACTGCTGGGTGATGCTCACTGAGATGTATTTTTTCTGTTGGATACAACTATCTCCAGATTACAGAATATTGAAAAAATGATAAGTAAATGGGAGGTTTTTTTCTCATTTAAGGAGTGGCGTGCCAGAGCAATGCAAACAACTGGTAGAAGCAGGATATGATGTTTGACAACCAGATAAAGAAAATGAGACTCTTCTTCACTAGGTAGCAATAAACAACAGAGAGGAGCTAGTGAAGCGAGCTGAGAATCTCTGGGACAGTAACACATCATATTCTGCCACTGTTACCTGTAATGACTCTGTTGCTTTTGTACTTGAAGACAAAGCAATGCACTGCTTGAGAAGAAAAGGGTAGAATTCAAATTTTAATGCACTTACCTTTGTGAAAATGTCTCTGAAATGGAAAGATAGCCCACTTTCTTTATATGTGAATCATGTAGTACACGAAATCATGAAATTTTCCCAGGTTTGGGTATTTTTCACAAACTATCCTGTTTAAAAAGGAAAGGTGTCTGCTAAGGAAGGTGGGAACCTTGCTGAAATGGAAAGAAGACCCTTCCCTCCAAATCCTTATAACTTCGAAAATTATGGGGCTTCCAAGCAAAAATGCAGGAAAAGGATTAAGAATTATTTCGTATAAAATATGTACAGAACAGAACAAACACAAACGCAGCAGTTTCCCCGCGCTGAGCGCTGTTTGCCCTCTGCTGCAGTTCTGACCACAGCCGGCAGGGGGCGCTGCTGGATGCTGCGGGGCAGGGGAGGGACCAGAACCGCTCGCGGCCCGCAGGGGGCGGGGCCAGAATAGCTCGGGGGCAGAAGGGGGCGGGGCCAGCGTCCCTAGCGGCCGGCTGAGAGAAGGACAGAACCAGAAAGACAAGAAANGATGTAGAAAAAGACACATCTATCTACCGAGTCCTGCCTTCCAGTGATGTAAAACTCCAAGCTGAAGGTAGGGCTAAAGGACCATGTACTTGCCTTGTGGTGACCCTTCTTCTTTATGGTGACCCCAAACCATTTCATCCCATCCTGGGCCTTCCTCTCAGGAGGGGCTTCTGGTCTTTTGGGAACTCAGGGACTGGGTTAGGCAAAACTGGGGCTGCCTCCAGTGTGCCATGACTGACAGACATTGTGGGCGGAGCACTACATCCCCAGAGCAAGGTCTGATCTACCCCCTATCTCCTCAGGATGTCTCAAAAAAGATTACCTTTTCCAGTCTCTGACAGGCAGGACTCACCCCCCACAAAGTCTCGGGCAGAGCATACACCTTTGCACGATATGCAACTGCCTAGGCAGCCTTTAAAAACACGTGCCCTAAAGCAAACTCCTCCATCCTCCTCAAGGTCTCGCAGCTGTCAAATCATAAAGACACAGTGATGATCTTTTTGGCACACAGGGTCATAGGATAGATACTTTATCACTAGGAATCTTCCTCAAGCCAGTATCCTGCCAAGTCTTTCTTGGGTGAGGAACCCAAAACTGACCCCAGGATTCAAGGTGGGGCCTCAACGGTGCCCAGAACAGGGGGAGGTCACTGCCCTGGTCGTGCTGGCCACACTATTGCTGACACAGGCCAGGATGCCATTGTCCTTCTTGGCCACCTGGGCTCGTGCTCAGGAGCTCTTAGCCAGCACCTCAAGGTCTTTTTCTGTGAGGCCATTGGAAATTGAAGAGAACTGACAGTGCAATGAGGACAGTTTATTAACAACTCCAAGGGGCCTAGTCTGATTTAGCGACTCTTTGGACGCTTTGGTAATAAGTCAAGTCGGCCCAGTTCCCCTTAAGGGCTCTGTGCCCGCCTAAAGTAACCAGCCAATAGCGCTGCAGGGGGATGCTGTACCTCAAGAGCAGGTGTAAGCTATTTCCTTGGACACAAGTTCCCACTGTTCCAAAACGTTTGGGTTTATTTATCGTTCCCTCGTGCCCGCTGGCCGAAGCGCCTCCTGCCCCCGCTGTTGTTGCTGTCGGAGCTCGCAGCGCAGCCACGCAGGAACGGCCGCTGCCCCGGGGACAGCCGAACGCTGAGCGCGAGCACCGGGACGGCGGCGGAACCTGCGCAGCTCGCGCTGCTCGGCCACCAATGGGAAGCCGCGAAATGGGCGGGGCGGGTGGGGATTGGCTGAGGCCGTAGGGCAGGGGCGGGGCCCGGAGGGACCGGTCCCGGCTGAGGGGCTGTTGGTGCGGCAGAGTGGGAGCGGCGGCGGCCGCGGCGGTGTCGGGGGTTGAGTGATCCTCGGTGAGGGATTGACCCCCCAGCGAGGGAGTGTCCAACCCCCGGTGAGAGAGGGACTGACCCCCGGCGGGGAACTGACTGACCCCCGGGGGGGAGTGAGCCCGGTGAGTGGCCCCTAATGAGTGCCCCCTAATGACTGCCCCTCGTAGCGAGGTCTCGCGTTCTGTTCCCAGTAGCCGTGCTCTCTAACTTATCCACATCTGTACTTGCTGACGGGGATTAAGCATCTGTTTGGCATCTGGAACAGGACTCCCATACTGACTCCTAGGGCTGCTGGCATTTATTCCCTTTGGGTCACTTTCTAGGTACATTATTGAGTTCTGATCTGGATGCAGTGCATGGTTTCTCTCACAACTGTTGGGTGAATCCTTTTGCATAAAGGATGGTGGAATGTTACACTCGCATTTACTCTTTGGTGTTTAACACTTTTTAAGGCATTTTGTATTCCAAAATTAAGCTTATGTACTTGAAAATAAGTATGTAGGGAATATACACAAATATTCCTCGTGTGACATATTCCTTAATGAGGTTTTTAAGAAAAATCGACTATATAACAACAATACCCATTTGTTTTAAATTAATACACAAGAAATAGACCAAAATTAAAGGACAAGGAGCTGAATCTATTTACCAACTGTCCTGCCTCCCCACCAAAAAAGGATTACAACCTTACATGAAATATATATTTAGGGCTGTATAGTAAGTTAGAGGTATTACTAATCTAGAACCACAACAGCTATATATTGCTATATTGGCTTACCCAATACTTAATAGAAATGTGATTTTTGGTATATGAATGTAAGGGATAGTGTTTCGAGGGATTTTGTCTTGTATGTATTTACTGTGAATACATTCTCTCTCTTCTAGGTGCTTTTGTATGTGTCCATTCCTGACTTCTGCCATAAACTTCTCCCTGGCTGTGTGGGAGGTGTACAAGAAGGTGCTGTCACCCCTGCTGGGAAGGTCTTCCCTGGAATACATGCACGCCATGTAATCTTCTGAAATTATAGTATGTCTGTTCTTAGAGTCTTTAATAACCATTGTGTAGCCAGAGAAAAAGTGCACATAAATGCTCTCACCTTCCTCACATGATCATTTCAAACAAAAATAGAAAGCAATCTATGTCATCTTTTAGAATAAGTTACAGCATTTGTATGTCTTATAATTAGTAAAATTCTTGATCTGGTAGGCACCACACTATCGATAGGAAAGTACTGCTTGATAATTTTGGCACTTAAAATTGTCAGTGGACTATGGCTGGTATTTAACAAGATAGTTTTAACTGCTCAAGCTCCCTTAACCCAAGGGACTTGGAACAAAATGTGTGATGTGAACTGTTAGAAAAGGTACTACAGTTGTTGCTAACTTTTTACTCTAATTATTAGGGTTTGGGAGAGTGTCTTAATTCTAAGTTTTGCAAGGAGAAAAACTCAGCCTAACAAAGCCTGATGGGTACAACAGAGTCTAAAGGAAGAGTCATCAAAGTGCCTCAGGGTATTTAATTGGGAGGATGAGGAGAGAGAAATCATTTTGTGGGCACCTGATGGAGCTTCTGTGTATTCTGTGCATACCCATATTAATTAAAAGCTGTATTAATGCAGGGTCACTAACACTACATGTTTTCTTCATATTTTAGGTAGTGTGAATAACTATTAAATCAGTGGACTTCAGGTCTGGATCATTGTCCACGTGCTTTGGTTTGCAAATGCTTCTTTCTTCCACTTCTTCTCACCTACCATCAGTTTTGACAACTGGATTCCTCTCCTGTGGTGTGCCAGTGTCTTGGGATATGCAGTGGCTGCATTTGCAACGATGAAAGGCTGCTATTTCCCTGCCCCTGCAAAAGACTGGTATGTGAGTTTTAGTAATGAGAGAATACTGGTATCAGAGATTAAAACTGCTAACTAAAATTCGAGTATATAAATGGAATGACAGAGGCACAGGGAGCTAGGCCAGTGTATGGCAGTGGTTCTAAGCAGTGTATAGCTTCACTAGCACCATCCCCTGTGTCTCATGCTGAATGCCATGGCACTGGCAGCTTCAGTGTCACAAGTACACCCACAGAGGAGGTTTGATTGTTGGTTGCTTGTCAAGGGATGAACGGTGGAAATGCTGAACTGCAGAACCTGATCTTAAACAAAAGTTTGTGAAAACTCTTATAAATTAGTGGCATTTTCAGCACCTGACAATATGGAACATGACCAACTGAGTTTTATTTTGATACTGAAACCAGACTTTATGGAGCTACTGAGCTGAGCAGGTTGGCCTGGGGTAGTAGCTGGTATGGGCAACTTTTGGATTTGAGCTTGAAACAGTGTTGCTAACACAGGGATGTTTTCACTGTTGCTGAGCAGTGTTTACACAGCATCAAGGCCTTTTCTGCGTCTCGCCCCACCCACCAGGGAGTGGGCTGGGTGAGCAGAAGGAGCTGGCAGGGGACACTGCTTACCTCAACTGACCCAAGGAATATCCTGGGCCATATGGCATCATGCTCAGCACATAAAGCTGGAGGAAGAAGAAAATGGGGGTGTCAGGAGTGATAGTATTTGCCATTCCAAGTCACCATTATCATCACATTATCATGTGATGGAGCCCTGCTTTCCTGGAGATGGCTGAACATTTGCCTGCAGATTGCAGGTGGGGAATAGGTTCCTTATTTTGCTTTGTTTGTGTGCAGTTTTTTCCTTTACCTATTAAACTGTGTTTATCTCAACCTGTGTGTTTTATCCTTTTCCTGATTCCCTCCCCCATCCCACTGGGGGAGTGAGCAAGCAGCTGTGTGGGACTGAGTTGCCAGCTGGGGCTAAACCATGAGAGTCCTTTTTGGTGTCTGACATGGATCACAAAGGGTTTGAGTTAACAGCAACTTTGGCTGGAATGTTCTGGATTGGATTTATAGCTGTTGGTGCTGTTAAGTTGTCAGGCTCCTGTGCTTGCCACGGGGCTCATTAGGTGTTTAATTTTGATTTTGCTGCTGGTGTAGTGCTTCTCCCTTTCCTGTGCTGTGCCTTGGATGACAGCCATGACAACACACTTGGGCTGGCAGGTGGCCAGGGCATCGCTGCTGTTTCTGTGCTGCTTGAGCTCCAGTCGAGGGAACTGTGACCTGTGGATGAGCCCACATGGGAAAAGGACATCCCCAGGCATCAGTGGCTGGGAATAAGCCCATGGCAGAGCAGGAACCTCTCAGAGCATCTGTGGCCGTGGTCATGTCCGTGCCCAAGAAGGGATTGTGGCCCAAGGATAAACCTGGACCCCTGTGGCTGTAGATAAGGCCATGCTCAGATGCCCCATGAAACATCAGTGGATAAACTCCTGGCAGAGCAGTTAAAAGCCTTGGAGGTACTGCAGCCATAGGGAAGGTCACATCCACTTCCTCACTGTGGATGAAAACTCCATTCCCTATCACTTGTGTAAAATCTTATTTGTAAAAATTTAAGGTTATAAATTCCTAGTTTCAGGCCAAATAGAATCCTGCTAATTTTCCTTCAGCTATTTCTTTTCTTGTTACATAGTTATCTTTCAGAGTCTTGGAAAAGGTTAATTTCAAGAGCTCCTTGGAATTCTGTTTTCCAAAGTGAAACAAATAAAGAGGGATCATAGTATGAACTACGCAGTTTGTAACAAGCTTGATAGTTATGTTCAAGCTAACAGACTTTTTTTTTTTTTTAATTATGGCTCACAAATATATTGTTAGTTTTTAGAGTAAGTAGAAAAGTGTGTAAATTGAAAAGTGTTTTGTAGAAGCAGCCGAATGCACTGATCTCATGGCAGGTTTGGATGAGTTGTGGACTTTAGTCCTGATATTTCCTATAATTTATACTCTGTGGTCAATATCACTTATGAAGTTATTAAATCTATTAAATCTGTGTAGTATGCTGGAAATTTCAAATATAAAAGTGTAAATATTTACAAAATGGTACTTATTTAACTTGTGTTTAATAAAACATTATGGGAAAACACAGTAAAATGTTCTGGTAATTACTTGGAGCAGTTAACAAAGTAGTTTGGTTGGATTATTGTAAGAAGAAAGGTTACAAGTGCTCACTTGAAGAAGGCACAATAGGCTAAGCAACTTCCACGTTGCTTTAGATCTACCTAAGGAACAAAATAGATCCCAGTGTTTTAGTTTATAAGCTTTATGGACTGTCAGTGTTTAATTTACAGATGGAATAGAGTGGGGAGAGGGGAACTTGCAATATCTCTGGGAGGGACGTTGCCTTCACACATGGAAAACCTCTGCCACCTCTGGCATTTCTGAGACCAGGGCTCCACCTTTGCAGTATAAGGGTGGTTGTGATGGAATGGAATTGCTTGGTTCCAGTTTTACTCACAGTGGGAAGGACAACAGGAGAATGTGCTGTTGCCTCACGATGACAGCCAAACTCTTTTCTGCTTTTAATTACCAGTCTAAGGTTCTGATCATGTGTTAGTCTAGAGCTGCACTGCCGAAATTGTTTCTCTTCAATAATGCAGAGTCTTCACTCAAGGTTAAAAGTGATATGCAGTTGAAGATAAAACGGCAATAGCATATTTTTTTCTACTTTATTTCATACAGGACAAAAAAGTCTAAATGTGTGTGTCAAATCAAAAGTTTGCCTTGTTTTTAGATGACAGATACAGACCATACAGACCTGCTTTATGGCTATTGGACAGACAATGAAACAATTTTTAAAAAAATTATGTTATCAAACTTTTTTTAATATATATTTTCTTAAAAGTGTAAAAAATTTTTGCAGCCCACAGAAATGTAAACTACATGTTTTATCATTTTACTAAAGTATAAATCAACAAAAAATATCTAATAAGTACATATTACAACAGCTACATCTTTATAAAGTGGTATGGAAGCATTGGAGAACCATTACAAGAGTAATTCATAGGAAACATCTTCTGAGTAGAGGAAGTGAAAATAGGAAACAGATGAGTTCAGAAGGGAAGAATATAAAAAGATAAAAACTTGCCCATGTTTTGATGGAAAAAAAAACCCTGACAAATGTGGGTAATTACATCTTGTACATAGAGGAAGTAAAGAACTGTATTGTATATTTTAAAATTATAATCTGGAAGAATGTAGCATAAAATCTAGGATATGAACTAATAACACTTGCAATATTTATGAACCATAGTCACAATAAAGGTTTTCAGAAAGAAGTTATATCAACTCTTTTTACACTGCAAAGAGTTACAGAACACACGATAAATTCAAAGGTGAAAGAAGGGAAAAAAGGTATGAAATTTCTTTTATTGTTTAAACAGAATATGAAAAAATAGGCCTCAAAAACACATGACCAGAAGGCAGAGGAACAGCAGCGAATCAGCCCTGAGGATGCAGATGCCCAGGAAAATCCCAGAAGTAAAAAGGAAAGGCCAACCATTTCCAAGAAGATCGTCCCACTGGAAAAGTGTCCCAGCAGCGATGCTACAACAGCATGCAGTTTGCACTCGATGGCTCCACTGAGGCTATGGCACTGCAAAAGGACAGGGCATTCTGAATAGTGCTACACAACATTGTAACTAAACACAGGCATTCCCAACTAGAGACAAGTCGCTGAAATCAACAGAAGAACGGCAGGATGAGTAAGATGTCAGCCCAGGCATATTTCTCCATAATCCATCAGCCCTGGATGAGGTTGGGTGAGAGCTGCCAGAGTGCAGAGGGAGGCAGCCCTTGGGACAGGCATCCCTGATCCCTCAGAGCCACGGCTATGGGACAAAAAGCCTCATCCCTGAGGCTGCAGAGGGGCAGGACAAGGCTGAAATCAAAGCTGTGAGTCGAGCGCCCACCAGTAAGGCAATGCCAGAAGAATGTGTCCCTGCAGCAAATCGGCTGGAGCTGCCAATTGCCAGTACGTTGCTGTCAGGAAAATGCAGTTGTGCCATGGGAGAAGAGCCTTGCTGTGGTGCTGGACACGATCCTCCAGCAGCAAAGGCAACAGCATCCTAGCAAAGTCTCTGGAGCACGCAGAGTAGGAGCAGAGAGAGCAAGAGCTCCACAACTGGATGACTTCTGGCAAGAATCTGCATAGCTCCCAGATCCTGCGTGTAAGCATCCAGACAAGAGAGGGAAGAAGGCCTTTGGAAAGGACTGCCTGCAGCCTCAGATCCGTGGGCATCTGGAAGGTACTAATGATTCACATAGCCAGTCTTCATGTGCCTGGAAGACTTTCTTAAAAACGTACATGGATTTTATAACTTTTTGAGTATCAGGTTAAAATAGCTTGAGCCTGGCTAGGCAATAGTATAAATGCTCAGTTGTCTGCAAAGCAATAATGTAGATGGTCAATTCCCTAGGAGCACCATCAGATTTTTTTTCTGAAAACAAGTGCTTGTAGAACACTTTCTTCTCCAAATGACCTTACTTCTTAGTCTATTTTAGAACCTTTGTTACCGATCAACTGACTTGACTGAATTGCGTTCTTTGTTCACCTATTCTAAGTTGCCTTTGTTTTTTTTCCCCCATAGGTATTTGCAGAACCTGCTCATCCCTGAGCATGCAGAATTGCCAGGAAAATCCAGAAGGCAACACTGGAGGTCAAGGCCGTTCCAGAAGGCATTTCCTGCAGCCAGACACACGGCAGCAATTTCCAGGAGCTGTCACTTCCTAGGCCACGGGATATTCTGTGGTGAAGGTAAGCTAAACTCAGGGACTGAGGATTTTTACAAAGCACACGTTTGGCATGTCAGGGAGGAGATGACGTCCCCAGGGTTATCAGCATCTAGGCTCTTGCAGGCGTTTGCACCGAAGGTTGGGGGAGAGATGGTCTAAGTGTCTGTTGGAGACCCTCTGGTGAGAGGTGCAGTGAACACATGCATTGATTTGCATAGCAGCTTATCTGTGGGGCCCTTCACCCAGGGATAAGATTATCTATAGCAGAATGGGGTAACAGAGCCCATCAAAATTCCCCCCTCAAAAAGGGGTTCCCAGACTCAGCACCAGAACACTGCAGCATGATGCAGCAGACCCTCAGTGTTGCAAAGGACAGTGTCGAACTGGCCCCTGCTAGGGAGACATGTGGGTGTTCCCACCTGGCCCAAATGTATATTAATTCACATAATTCTCTACTCTTTGGTGTATGGCAGTGTGGCAGCAGCAGCAGGGGACCCTCACCACCAGGACCAGACGGAGGGGAGCAACGAGACATCCGGATGGGTGATGTGTTCCACCTAACCCCTGTCACTCTTCTTCCTGTCTGCCCACCTCCCAGGCACCCACCTTTCCCTTTCCCTTTCCCTTTCCCTTTCCCTTTCCCTTTCCCTTTCCCTTTCCCTTTCCCTTCCTCCCTTCAACCTAGTGAGTTCATGTACTACCTGATTTCACATATCAAGAAACTGGGCTATATTTCAGTGACATCTTCACAAAGGCAGTTTGATTAAAATTTGAATTCTACCCAGTGGTCTCAGGTCAACACCTTCTAGGCCTACAGAGACATCAGGAAATCACTTTCCTCCAGGACAAGGGCACTGAGGAACATCTGGAGACACTTCTGGAGCTGGCCAGCATCTAGCTTTGTGCTCAGCATTGAAATCACTCATCTGGTCCATCTCCTGAGCACCTGTTGAGCTGCCAGAAAGTCCTACACCTGGCACATGCCATGTCCCTTCTCAGCCCTGGACTCCAAAAGCAGCTCTGG